CAGGCTGGCGATGGCGGCAGAGACAACCAAAGGCAAGGACATCATCAATGAACCCATAAGTGAAAGCATATCAGCGAGCTGCGGAGGGATCCACACGCTGCTTCATCCCAATAAAGTGTAGGGTTAGCAATCTCAAGACCAACGTTTATACCCATTGTAGGAATACCAACATCTTGATGACGAACAAGGCCATCCGCTGTATATAGATATGTATTAATAACAATAAAACGAAGATGTTGAAGAATGTCAGGCACAGAAAGAGTGTCGGATCCCGTATCGGCCGTCCATTCCCCTGCACGCGGTCCAGGGACCACCATACAAAGAGCAACGCAGGATGAGCATAGCGTGTCCGTGTTTGTTGCAGTGCCTGTGCAAGAGCATAGGCATGTGCCTCATCAACGGCCTTAGCGACATTGTTAAGAATCCGTTGATGAGAAAGATTAGTATACATAGTAGTGAGATCGACCGTATGAGGGGCCAGACCTCGGAGAGAAGCTTTATTCTTTTTGAGGTCAAGCATGACCTCGTCACCGCTCTGGACAATCCAACATCGTCGAATACCTTCGGATTGGAAGACTTGATTATCTTTTTCGCGAAGAGTATGGATGCAGCACTCAAACGAGCCGAGGTAGGTGTTGTACTAGCAACAGGCTGGTGAGGCGGTCGGTGATGCAAACGCTGGACTCGTTGGGAGGGGGGCAGGTCACTCTGCTGGGCCGTATGACAAGAAGAAGAAAGATTGTCGTGGGCAGTGATACCAAGAATAGTACGGAGTGTAGGAGGACACTTATGGGCCTTAAGAGCGCAATAAAGATACGGCAATGTGTCAGCATGGGGATAATTGCAACGATTGTTCCAAAGTGCATGGCTATTCAGAATGTCGGCAGCTGTTTCAGTGGGCCGAGAATACGTAGGACTGTCAAGATGAGCAGAAAGGCCGAAGCAATACCAATTCTTGCAACAAATAGCCAGATTGTGCGATGTTTTGTCGACAGGAACAATCGCAAAGGAGTCTTGGAGCTGACGCAGAGTCGTACGTGCGTGTCGCAAAGAGCGAAGCTCCACAGGAATAATCGCAAAGGAGTCTTAGAGCTGACGCAGAGCTTTATGTGTGTGTCGCAAAAGAGCGAGGCTGTCGAAAAGGTGATGCGACATCCATATTGGACTCACAGTGACGCAAACTGTGGCACGCCAAAGAGCCAATTGTGGAGCAAGGGTAGCAGTGCCAAAGAGCTAATTGTGGAGCAAGGGTAGCAGTGCCAAAGAGCCAATTGTGGAGCAAGGGTAGCAGTGCAGGATTGTCCTGATGTCAGACGAAGACATGCAGCAATATACTCATCAATACCAACAGCCAGTGCTTCAAGTACATCCCCCACTGCCCCATTCAGCCGATATTTAGAGCCTTCACAGAATAGGCAACATCAAAGGTTAGCATCCGGAATCAGATCATAGTTGGCAGAAACAACATGGCCATCAACCAGATCGGTGCAGTTAGCAAAGGCCCGACGACAAGGACAATCAGCAGCAGCAGGAAGGCGCAGGCCCGGCACAACACTCAAGGCAACTTCCGTAAAATTACAAAATGGCACGCTTGTTGGGGGTACAAGTTGGTCACAGATGCGAATAGTGCTGGCTGCCTGAGGGTCAGGGTGCAATGCACAGGCATCCCGAGAACGCAACACTTGGCGCATCTTAGTGGCCCTCAGGATCTCGTGCATTTATGCAACACATGGCGCATCTTAGTGGCCTTCAGGATCTCGTGCATTCATCTACAATCCTGATATAATTTCCGAAGGTGTCCCAGGAATGGGGAATGGGCGGTATATCGCTGCCGGACACGTTGAAATCGCCGAATAAGGCATTCCAGTTCACGGCCGTCCGCAGTCATGTCAGCATTAGAAACATTTATATACAGCCATTGCAGCAAGCGAGCACGCCAAGCGGGCGTAGCCCACCTAATGGAAGAATGGAAGCAGCAACTTCGGACCAAGTACCCGCTGCGCTCTTGGCGTGCCGGCTGAATGGAAGCAGCAGCAACTTCCGCCAACTCCGCACCAAGTACCCGCTGCCCCTAACGACAACAATAAACGCCGTAACGTTGTTCGTTGCAGTACTGCAACGACAATAAACGTGGTTACCGTAACGTTGTTCGTACTGCAAACCGATCGAGGACCTGGGCTAATATCAATGGTAAAGGCCCGAGAGGGAGAGGAAGAGGAGAGGACAGGTGGAGACGGGTGAGGAGAAGCAGCAGAGTGAGGAGAAGCAGCAGACGAAGGACCACCTTGCAGCCGGCGATCGGGGCGTGGCGGCCGTCGAACAGGCGGTAATATTTGAATCATAATTGATATAGATATATGATACTACTGCTTATTGTACTCGAATATATTTGGTTATATATTCACTACACATATTATATTATTGTATGTTTGATTTCATGGGTTCGTTCGTACCTTCTTTTTTATCCCGCCAAAATTTAGCGTCACGTAATTCCCGTTCCGTAACGACGGTAATTATAC